CAAGGGGTTGGAAATGTGAGGATTCGGAGTTTGGGCAATAAAAGAGAAGTTTGTAATCATCAGTGTAGTCCAATGGTGGGTGCTTTGTCTCGGGGTAGTAAGTTCCCCGTCACTGGAGGTGTACAAGCAGAGGCTGGTAACCTTGCTTGTCAGGGAGGCTGTACAGAGAGATTCTGACCTGGACTAAGGAGGAAGAGAGGGCAAACTAGCCGACTCCTGAGGCTCCTTCCCATTCTGGATGACTGTACCACTAAAATGCACATGTAAGCCATACTGGGAGATGGACCAGGGCTTTTGTGTTGTATTCAGGGGATGAAGTATAAGGGTGGGCTTTCTCTTTCTAAGGAAGGTGGCAGATTTTATGTAAGATCACACACAGTAAAAACCTGGCATTGCTGCTGCGTGAGTCCAGCTGAAGCTGAGATTTTATTTTGAAATAGGAAAGTAAACTGTAACTAGCTTGATGGAAGTAAATAGGATTTATATTTATATAGAACCTCCAAAGTGCTTCAGCTTTTCGCCCTGAGGAAGGGAGAAATGACAGCCATCCCCCGCGGGCCGGGGCCCAGAGCGGCGGCAGGGCGGGGTTCATGGAGGCTGACACGATGTGGCCGGAGCAGCCGTCTGACTGCTGTGGACACAGCCAGGGACACAGCGTGGGCCTCACACTACGCCGAGCGCTTCTGTGGCCCCAGCTCGACTGCAAATCACGTTTAAAACATTTCTTCACGGTATTTCTGAGAACACTGCTTGTGTTTAAACACTGCCCCTTCACGGGCCAAAGCTGCGGCTTAATGTTGTTATTGCTCACAGCAAACCCATTTCGAGTCTCTGAAAATGACTTTGCGGTGTTTTCCTGTTGCCCGTCTCCCCTCAAGTGTGCGGCCTGTGGCCTGCTCCCCGCAGCCCTGGGTCCCAGCCAGCCCTGCCCAGGGGACAGAGGGGAGGGGAGTCAGAGCACAGTGTCAGCACGGGAGGGCTTCCCAGATTCCACCTAATGTAAACCTTTGCCCCCCTTATCAATGCCGGAGCTGAGGTACGAGGGTGGGGAAGCAACTCAAAGCAAAACTAAGCTAGGACACAAGTTGTAAAAGCCTCGGATTTGGATTCCCTGGAAGCCGCACGTGAAACCAGGTGCACGTTCATGATGGCAGGGAACACCAGCAGGAGAGGGGGTGCGAGGCGGGGGGGGGGGCGGCAGCTCTCGGGATGTGGGGTGAACAGGTTTGCTCGGGCAGCTGGGGCTCAGCCCCTGGGAATCTCTGGAGATGGTTTAGAACAAGCACTGAGCTGTCCCGCCCGATGGGCAGGCACCAGCTGTGCTCATCCACCAACCCCTGTTTGTCCTTGTTTGAGGCGGCTCCGAGCTGAACTCCCAACACTTCCAGACCGTTCACTGCAGGGGGCCAGGAGTCCTCCACAGCCCAGGAGGCCTCGGGGAGAGTTGCCAACAAACAGGATTGGTGAGTGCCTGGGGGGGGGGGGGTGGGGGGGGACACGGTGGGGCAGCGATGACCTCGGCTACCCTGGTCAGAGGCTCATACTCTCCTGTCCCTGGTCATAAAGTTCACTGCCTTAGAGGTGAGAGGCTAACACAACATGATTTATAAGGGGAAATTAAATGTAGAGGGTTGGTATCTGAAAATGAGTAAATATCCCTATTTCGTAGGAACCCCGTGTGCACTTTAGTGCACCCTGTTTCTCTACCTTGTATGACTTCTAGAAAACTCTATTCATCCTCCAAAGCCCAGCTCCAATATGAACTTCCTGATTCCTCAGGAAAATTAGTGGCTCCCTGACCCCCTTTGCTCTGCCGGCTGTAAAGGTCAGGACTGTGAGTGTCCGGCCCTATGCCCTCGCCTGCTCCTTCCTCGTGGTGGTAATGACAGCTACTGTCTACTGCATGCTTTAATTATGTGTCTGGACATTTAATCCTCTCAACTACATGAAGTAGCTACAATTACCATCTCCATTGTGTAGAATGGAAACAGAGAGAGGTTAAGCCACTTTGTCAATATCATAAAGTCAGCAAGTGGCAGAGCTAAGATTTGGTTCTAAAAGTTCCGGTTTCCAAGTCCCTGCTCTTCACCACCACAGAGAACAGCCTCCCTTTGGCTGGGGTAAAGCAGGGGGCCGAAGGACTGAACCCTGGGGGTACTGCCAGCAGGGCCTCACGCCAGGCTAGGAAACATCAGCTGTAGGGAACCTTGAACAGCTGGATGACACAAGATTTACATTTTACAAAGGTCACTCTCACCATAGGGCACCTGGTGAATTGAAAGAGGAGAGACTGAGAACAGAGATAACAGTCAAGACACTGGTGCAACAATCCAGGTAAGAGAAGAGTAAGTCCTAGTTTGGCAGAGAACCTCGTCCCTGAGCAAACCCTGGCTGACCCCCCAGCCACCACAACGGTCACTCCCCAGCATGACAAGGCTGCCACTCACAGATTCACCTGGCCAAGGGGCACCGGCGGGCTCCCTGAGCAAACCCTGGCTGACCCCCCAGCCACCACAACGGTCACTCCCCAGCATGACAAGGCTGCCCTGCACAGATTCACCTGGCCAAGGGGCACCGGCGGGCTCCCAGTGAGGAGTCATGTGCACCGAGAAGGAAGGGTGCCTTTGCTCCCTCGCACAGACGACAGAGGGGTCGACCAGCCAGCGCCCTCCCCATATGACCCTCCAATTTAGGGACTTCAAATTAATTTTGCTTCCTGACTGTGTCATGATTTCCCCCTGGGTTTTAAACATTCAGTTTCCTCTACTAAGAACGCTCTTTCACGCATTCATTAATGCGTTCTTTTGTTTATTCAGACATATTTCTTAGCACCCAACATGTGGCAGGTACTGATCTGGGTCATGGAGACTCAGTGAGGGAGCTTATAGTCTAGGGGACAAGATAAATATTAATGAAATAAGTATACAGATGTGGTATTCTGACCCTTTCTTTGAAGGCAAATTCAGGGGACCATGAGATGAATGTTGGGTGCGGGAACTCATCTGCCCTGGGACGCAGGCGGCTGTCACCAGGAGGTCAGGAGAACAATATGCTTTCCTCAGGGTGCAGTCGGCTTTTACGCTCAGATGTGAGGAGTAAGTAGGAATAAAAGGGGCAAAGAGGGTAGGGAAGGAGAGTGGCCAACCTCGCTGAGTCCTACTGTGTTTAACAGCGTGCTCATGAATTCTGGGGTTGAAGGAGATGGGTCTGGACACCGGAGGAGACTTGACACAACCAGGGGAGTGGGAGACTGGGGAGGGCCCTGGGGAGAGGTGAGAGGCTCTGCAGGGGGAGCGGATGGGGACCCGCACAGGCGCCAGGCGCCAGCGCCTGAGGAGACCCGTGGGGATTCTCATGGTGGGCTGCAGAGGAGCTCTTGAAAACAGGGCTGTTCAATATTTAATTCTAACTTGTGCTTCTGTGGTCTAAGGTCCTCCCCTTCTCAAACGTGCAGTATAAATGGTCCCACACAAAGACTTGTGGTTTGGGGGAAATCAGGAGAAAGCTGAGTTCCCCGGAAAGGTCAGTAGGGAGCAAAGAGAACACAGCCTTCGAGGTGACACAGACAAGGTCAGATGGTCAGTGGACACAAATCTGGAGGCAGTAGCGACAGGAGGTATTCGTAGAATAGGCTGTATTTAAACTTCGAAGAACTAGAATTGTATTTGTATTTAATTGGGAGGATTGATTAGAACAGGTGATGGTCAAGGCAGCATTAAAAAGATCCGATGGAACCAGGGCAGCCTAGAGGGGGAGACAGATGAAGGATTTGCACCTGTGTCTGGCAGGGGGCCAGGGCTGTGGTTTCACTGTAGACCCTGAGACTCAGTGTGTCAACTCTGGCTGGAGGAGATGCGCCCCCATCAGCTGGCTCCCCAGGTCACAAGCCAGCCAGCCTCAGAGCACAGCCTACCATGACCTTGGAGAATTATGAATTCAACATTTATCGAACACCTGTTACTTTCTGGGTACAAAGTCACTTGGGATTTGGTCCTTGACCTCTGCCCTTAGAGGACTCAGTCTAGCTGGGGGACAAACTCAGAGAACAGTGATCAAAGCTGCCACAGAAGCAAGACCAGAGGGTGTGGGAGCAGGGTGGGGCCTCGACCCAGGCTGGGGCATCCGGCAGCTTCTTGGAGGAGGGACAGCTAAGCAAGGTCATGGTGGTGTGCAGGGTAGGCAGCTCTGGCAGGAAGGGGAGGGGGCAGGCCCAGCCACGCGGGCTGTCCTGCTGGCCCTCTGCAGGGCTTACGTTAAGCACAAAGCAGCCTGTCTCCATCCCTCTTGTTTTCATGTCTCTCCAACCGGACTCTCAGGTCCTCAAGGCCATGGAGATGTGCTCACGTTTGGATGTGAGAGCAGGAAGAGACCGACCTGAGTAGTGACCAGGAGAGTCCCTCATCCCTAGACCAGTGCGCCCTGCCCCACGCACCACCTGCCACCGTGCTTGCACTCCACGGGTCGCTCGCCCCTCTGGGTCTGACAGCCCGTGTGGAGCTGCCGATGGGAGTGTGAGGTCCTGGGCAGGTGCCAGAAATAGATGATGGGGACTGGGGACTGGAGACGGGGAAGGAGAAGGGGCGAAGAAAGGATGCGGGTGAGCAGAGCTGCACGTGGATTCCTGCAACTTGTTTGCTATTCCTTTTCTTATATCCTCCGCTTTTTAACCTCAAGACACGTGTTGAGTAAATGCTCCTGAGTAGACTCACCAACAAGGTGAAAACATCATTTTTGAGGTAGGACTTTAAGGCAATGTCGTGGGAAGAGAGCTGGAGTCGGGAGACCAGTGTGAATCCTGCTGGGCGGCCCTGGGCAGACGCAGCGCTGTCTCTGGGCGTCCGTCCCACCACCAGTCAGCGTGCAGCTGGCCCAGGGCTGCCAGGCACTCTTCGGTCTCTGCCTCTGGGTCTCCAGTCTGGACAGCAAGGTGGAGGAAAGCGTGTCTGTGACCAGCCAGGCTGGGGCTGTGTTTCGTCTCTCCGCTGAAGCCAGGTCCGCAGTCACGCGAAATAACCCCAGAGGAACACATTGATGGCCAGCAGGAGGATGGCATTGACGTTGCAGACGCTTCTCCAGAGAGGCTCCTCCTCGATGCTGGTCAGCTTCTGCTCCTGCGCGGCCTTCTCTGCCGGGCTCAGGGCCCGCTCCGGGGCCCCGGAGAGCCCACAGAACCAGCCCCAGAGCAGCCTTCCCCAGGATCTGCGTGGGGCTGAGGGACAAAAGCCAGAGCGGGGAGGGAAGCAGGAGGCAAGAGCAGGGCAAGGTCAAAAAGGAGAGAGATGAGAGCAGGGGAAGGAGAGATGGTGAGAAACCAAAGAAATGGATGAGATGCAGGGGGAGGAGGGTGCATGGAATGAACTTAGCCCTTTCTACAAGCCACAGACTGAGTGCTGAGCTGGGACTCCACTGAGCTCTGACCCAGGCCCCAGCACCCAGACACTGAGCAGAAGCATCTAGCGGTGCAGAGTGCATGGTGTGCTAAGGGGTAAGGATCGTGCTATTCAGCCCAGTTCAGATCACAGGCCCCGCATGGGGATGCGGTGGAGCGTCTCACCCAGGGAGGACGCAGCGGGGAACCAGCCAGACTACGTGATGCTCTGGGAAGGGCCCTGGGCTGGAAGCCATCACCTGACTGCGGCCACATGCAAATCACTCAGGGTCTCTGAGCCCAGGGTCTTTCCCTCCCAGCTAAACCCGTGGGGCAGGCCCTGTTCTGCGGTGATTCTGTCCACAAAGAGAGTGCAGGTCTGAGCGCACTTCCACTTCGGAGCTGCAGTGCGGAGCCCTGGGGAGAGGCCCCAGCAGCGTTCTGACCACCAAGGCTGCCAGACACGGGCCCTGGTTAGATTAACAGTAGATCAAAATAAAATTCAAATAAAAGACCTTTCACTGAGGTTGAATACAACCCACTGGAAACGCTTTATTATCTCAATGGCTTTGGAACTTGGTATTTGGTGAGTCCAATGTGACTATAGTCTCAGGGATGCAAGACCCAGATGCCATCTAGTCTGGCGCCCTCACTAGGCAGAGGAGGGACAAGGCTCGTGGAAAGGCAGGACGTGCTGGGTCCCAGGCCAGCGGGCAGCCTGAAGCAGGCGATGCAGTCAGCTCTCCGAGCCCTAGGCTGCACCCCTCCCTTCCCCAGCCCCCCCCCCCCAGCACTCCCTTTTCAGTCACTTAGGTACGGTTGGCCGGGGATGACTCAACAAACCTAAACAGTCTACAACCAGGGATGAATATGCTTCTTTCAGATCTACTCTACTGTCCTTAAATTTGTTTTCTAACTTCATTTTTTAGGACTCACAGGTACATTGACATGTTGCTTTTTAGCCTGAGAACAACCCAGATGAGGCTTCATCTACCTGCAGCCTTTTGACAGGTGGGTGCTTGCTCCCCATTCCCCGTGTTCCCCGGGCAGGGGGAGGGGCTGTCCCACAGGATAGCAGGTGCCTCTCCCTGCCCTTTCCCTCCTCCTGGTGGGACGGGAGGGATTTCTCTCACTGAACTTGCCCGACTCAGTACTTCCTTGGTCTTTCTTAGGGGTGAGCCACCCATCGGGAGCAGCCATTTCTCTGCTTCTCCAGAGACAGGCTCTGCCCTCAACGTGGGGGCCACCAGGTAGGACTCCCCATGGCCAGGTAAGGAGCCAGCCAGGAGAGATGACCTGTGCCCTCCTTCCCTCCGGAGGTGCCTTGGCAGCTTCTTCCCTTCCTCTCCTGTGAAGACCTGGGCTCTCAGATGGCTTCTTCCACGCCATACGTTTTCTAGGACCTGGACCTGGTCCTTGTGATAGTGGGACCAGAAGCAGTTTTGAGACCCCGGCTCGAAAAAGAGGTCCGAGTTACACTTTGCAAAGCAAAACTGGGGCAACTGACCAGACTAGGGCTGGGACTGGGGCTGTGTAGGTGCTTTTCTAAAGTGAGCCTTGGGGCCTTATAAAAGATTACATTCCCCTTTGCGAACAGTTGTGTATACACATATAGAGAGTGGACCGCTGACTTCTACCTGTGCAGGTTGGTCACGAAGCTTGGGTCTTAGGTTTTGGTGGAGCTCACGGTCTGGAGCTTGTGATGTCATTACCTCTAGGCTGGTGGCTGTTTCTCTGGAGTCAGGGCCCTAAGCAAAGCTGAAGGGCTTAAGAGAGGTGGGGGGGTCTCAAGCAGGAAGCACAGGACCCCTAGAACCTGGCCAAGAGGCCGGGCTGAGAGGCGGAGCTGCCAGCCGTGTGGCCCAGCAGCTGGGCTTTGGTTAACTCGCTGTGCTGTGAACTTGCTGGATTGTTAGGAGTCTGTCACTCCAGGGGCTGGGAATGGAGCTGAGACACTTTCCAAGGCCCTGGTGGAGCTCTTGCCAACCCAATGGGAGAAGGCAGCCTCTGAAGGCACCCCGCCTGCACCCCGACTGCACCCCGACTCCACCCGAGGCAGGAAGTTCATTTAGGACTTAAATTGCATTAAGTTTTTAACTCACAATAACAAGAGAAATTGATTTAGGGCTTTAAGTTGCAAACTGACTTGGCGTTTTGACATTAAATTTTCCTTGGGAACTTTACACTTTGGGAAATCTCTGTCACTAAATGAGAATACCTTAACACGGGTACTTAACCACCCTGCAGGAAGGGTGTAAGTGCATTACCTCTAAAACAGCTACATTGTGTCTGTGTCAGTTTCCGACTTCAGACACTGTGTGGTCTCGGAGTGCAGTGAACTCGCTGTTATTCTAACACGTCGGGACCCTCCGGGGGCAGTGCTCACGGGGCCCATCACCGCTCAGGGAGCAGACCCGGGAATGGTGGAACCTCGTGAACACAGCACTGGGTGGACACGTGTCTGCTCTCTTGCTGAGAAGGATGACCATGCGTGTGTGACTCCAGGCAGGTTATTAAGCGCGGTGGGCAATAAATAATAAAATGTGTGTTTTTTGTGGGGGAGGGGGGGCTGTTTCTTTGTCATACCTGATGTTTCCTTCCATGTGGATGGAACTCAATTAGTGTAACACCCTTTGATGTTCTGGCCTAAGACCCCTGCACCGGGAAGAGGTGAAGGGACCCTCTGTTGGAGGCCGGGAAGGATGCAGGGCACGCTCGGCCCGCGCTCACAGCCAAGGTGGCTGATGGCTTCCCCTGTCTAGTGCTGGGTTCGTATCCGCAAGCACACCTCCCCATGGGTAGAAACCAGGTCTTCCCACCCACACGTTGCCAGCAGTGAGGGCAATCTTCTGGCTCCCATCTGCCTTATTGTTTCTTATTCCTCAGATAGTTTAATGACCACGTGGGAAGGGAGGAAGGATGTTCTTTGTACTCCTACAGGGTCCCCATCCCCAGTGACCCAGTGGGGATTTTGGGGACCTGTGACCTAGTCCCCACCACTCCTCTGTGATACAGACCCCGGCACCCCTCGGCCTACCTCCGTGCTGCTCCGGGCCCTGGCTGGCGTTCTCGGCCCCTCGGCCCCCTGCAGGCTGTGGCCCAGATGGCATCTCCAGGGCCCCTGGCGTGTCCTCGTGGGCTTCCTTCTCCAGCGCGGAGTGGGGCTGGTTCCGCGTCCACCACGTCAGGCGAGCGAGCTGGAGGAAGAGAGAGCGTTGTCTTGACTCAGTGACCCCTGGAGGGAGGTCGTGCTGTAGAGAAAGTGGGGCCCATCCTGGGAGGCCCTCAGAACAGTGAGGGGTGCCAGGAACAAGCACAGGGCTGGGAGGCGGGGGTCTGGCTTAGCCTGACCTCCACGTCCTTGGAAAACCTGCACCCCCTGAGCACACGCCAGGGGCTGGGAAACACCGACCTGCAGCTCACTGACCGGAGAAAAAGGAGGCTGGACAGGGAGGCAGGCGCCCAGGACAGGGGCTTCCCAGCGCAGGCTCGGAGTTCATTTGTTGTTTAAAAAAGAGCAGTGGCGAGCACTGCAGACTGTAGGAACCGGGAAGAGCCTCTGAGTCTGGGATTTAGGAGGATCCCGCAGATGAACTGAAGGGACCCAGCCTGGAGGCTGCGGCAGAGGTGAAGCAGGAAGTGAAGCAGCCCGCGAGCCTGCGCCACAGAGGAGCCGCCTGTGGGCCGGGAGCTGCCCGCCTGGTGACTGACAGCTGGGCCCGGGCACAGGAGTGGAACGTGGCCTCAGGCTCCTGCCACGTGCTGGGCAGTGCTGCCCCGCACAGAGGAGAGGGCAGGAGAAGGATTGACTTCTTGAGGGGGAGAGAGAGGAAGGAGGGAGGGAGGGAGACACGGCTCACACACAGACACCTGTGATGATGAGCTCGGAGAGTCTGTGGGACCTCCACGTGGAGACGTCCTGGTGACAAGAAGCAAACCCGTGGACCTGGACGGCCCTGATGGCTTTCCTGCTTCCCCCTTTTGGTGGCTCGGGAGAGGAGAACATGGCAGGTTCTCCCTGATCTCCTTGACCACGCGCCCACCCGAGCGCCTTTCCAACAAGGCTCTTTCCTGGCCAGGCAGTGCTTCCTTAGGTAGTGGACGGGGTCCCCTGCCCTGCCTCCACCTTCCCACAGATCCGTGCAGCCGTGCAGCCCTTCCCTTCCCTCTGGGCCTCCTGTGGGCCAGGGAGCCCAGCTCACCGGGCTGCAAGCATCTCTGGGAACCTCCACTCCACACTTACGTGTGAGTCACCAGCAGCCTGGTGGTCTCTCTCTGTCATGAGGAGGCATTTGGATTTGGGGTTGAATCTTTGGAGAGGGGTTTTGGCTGGAGATAAAGAACTGAGTTTTACCCTGGCTGGTTCCACTCAGTGGTTAGAGTATTGGCCTGCAGACGGAAGGGTCTCAGGTTCAATTCCCGGTCAAGGACACATACCTGGATGGCATGTTCGATCCCCGGCCCTGGTCGGGGTCATGCGGAAGGCAACCAATCGGTTTCTCTCTCTCTCTTTCTCCCTCCCTTGCTTCCACTCTGTTAAAAAAAAAAAAAAAAGTGGGGGGGATATCCTCAGGGGAGGATTAACAACAATAACAAAAAATTGAGTTTCATTTTTATGTAGAAGGTTGTTGAATTCGTGGCCGTGGACAGGCAGCTCAGGGACAGTGCAGGAGAAGAGGTGTGGACCACAGGAGGGTCTAAGGAACAATGATACTTATGGGACAGAAGGCAGAAGAACGCGGGAGGGAGTGTGTCATGCAGGTGGATAGAAGAGTCTTCGGCTGCAGGGGGTAGTCAGTGGTTCCTGATTCTCCTCGGAATTCACTTCAGAGGAGGAAGGGGCCGTGGATTTCAGCAAGGAGAAGGTTACTGGGGATCGTGGTGAGAGCGATGTCCTGGGAAGTGGAACAGCAGCCAGGCCGTAGTGGTTGAGAAGCAGGTGCGAGGTGGGGCGTGGAGCCCGGGAATGGCCATCTTTGCAAACATTTGTTTTCGAGACAGGGAGGGAGGAAGCATTAACTAGAAGAGAACAGGATCCAAGAGGGATATTTACTTGGGAAACACTCAGTGGACCCCACACAATGGAGAAAGTGGAAGACTGAAGCAGTGGGGGGTGATCCACTGGGTGAGCCACTGGGTGATCCACTGGAGACGGCGGCCTCTCTCGGCTCACCTGTGAACAACCTGTCTGTAGGAATTAGTGATGCCAAGGGTATAAAGTCAACACACCACACAGGTAAGGGTGTCAATACTGATTTCCACTCAGGGTTTCAGGGGCCGGCTTCTGGCCCGGGCTCTCTTATGGGCTCAATGGTGTCCCCCTCCCAAGGGCATGTGTTGAGGTCCTAACCTCCAGTACCTCAGAATGTGCCTGTATTTAGAGGGAGGGTCCTTGAAGAAGTAATTAAGGTTGCGTGAGGTGTTTAGAGTGGCCCTGGTCCAGTGTGACTGGATTATAAGAGGTCAGGACACACACAGGCATGGGGAAGACCCCGCAGAAGGGAAGGAGGCCTCCCAGCACAGCCCCGTACCCCACGTCCCAGGCTCCCAGGCTCCAGAGCTGCCAGAATGAATTCCTGTTGTTCAAGCAGCCCGGTCTGGTACCTTGTCGTGGCAGCCGGAGCAAACACCTCTTTTTTTCTCTAAACTTAAGAAATGGGATTTCGAAGGACTGGGCCTCATGTCCCAGGATGGTAGACATTCAGCACGAGAGAGGTGAGGACTCCCAGCTGAGCTCCTGCTCTGGAGGACCGTTCTTCTCCCAGACATTTTCTTGACTGCACACCAACCCCTGCTCATTCTTCCAGGTCCAGCTCCAAGTGACCGTGTCAGGGACCCCTCCTGGCCCAGGGGCGACTGCCTCTCTGGCTCCGCCTCCCTTTGAGACTGGCCCTTCCGCACTCTCCCCTGGTAGAGTGACCTTCTCTGTGGATGTCTGTTCCTGCCACATGCCTCCTGGGGGCTTTCCCCTTTGCAACCCCGCACAGGGCCTGGCACATAGTAGGTGCTCACTGGGTAATTTTCCAGTTGAATGAATGACTTCAGTTGGGAATGAATAAGCCAGGGAGCTCCCTGCCCCGGGACACCTGTGTGGCAGTGGTGAGACCATTACCCAATGGAGTGAAACTCGGGGGTGGGGATGTGGGGGTGCTGGGGGGCTCAGCATGAGCACTCCACTTGCCTTTTCCTCGGGGATGGGGGTTGTACAGAGGCTGACAGTGACGATGACCATGGCGGTGAGGCCGCAGAGGACGAGGGCAAAGTAGAGGTAGTGGAAGTCCTTGAGCACGGCCGGCCTCCGGTCCTCCTCCCCGCAGGCCGGGGCTGGGAACGAGAACTCCAGGCCCATGCGCAGGAGCCCCACCGCGAGGCCGCACATGAGGCCCCAGAAAGCTCCCTGTGGGCAGAGGGCAGACCAGGCAGGGTGAGACCCGGGTGGCAGGCCCTGGGGCACGGAGCCATCTGCCCCAAATCCCCCGCTCACTGGTTGGTTACTGTTTGCAAGCCCGTCGGAGTGAATTCCCCACTAATGCCCAGGCTCTGACTTCACGTAAAGGCAGGCAGAGCGGGAAACTGGGAACAGCTCGGGCTCCAGAGCCAGGTGGACCAGGATCTGGACCCGGCTCCGTTCCAGAGGAACTGACGCAGTGGTTCAAGCTCGCTGACAATGACGGGGGGAAAGATTAAGTACTGAGTACAGATGCTTAACAGCCAACGGGAATGGGCTATGATTTTGTAATAAGCAGAGAACACCAGGGCCCGTTCCCAACTTTCTGTCACGATAAGTTGGAGATCAGTGTAGACATCTCCCTTTTGCTGCTTCTATTTTTCCGTCTTTTGCCTTTTTTTTTTTAACGAAAGCAAGCTCTGGCACCTGCCGTGTCTTCTTCACAGCGCTGCTCAACCCTAACCTGCACCTGTTTCCTTGTCACACGACTTGTGTTTTTAAAACTGAGATACGAATCCCGATTTCAAAACTTCTGGGATGAGCAGGCACATCCAGACTTCAGCTGGGTTTGCTGTGCATGCTCTCGGCAGGGAGCTCAGCCGGCAGCGTGGGAGCCGGCTCCTCCGATCTCCTTGGCAACGGCCTTCAGCTCCCTCATGGCTCCTGCGGAGTCCTGCCCACGACGCCCCGCCCCTTACCTCCCGACAGTAGAGCCAGCGGATTTGGGCCTTTTCTAGACTGTTCTGGGGAGTAACCAGGGTTATAGTCCTCCTACCTCAAGCTCCCCCCAGGCTTCTGTTAGATTTCAGTGCAGTTTCACGAATGAAACATGTATAAGCATCTCTGCAAGTTCACACTTCATTTCGTCGTCATTATTTTTTCCTACATATAAAACCTTATAGTGTCAGAGATGAAGCAGAACCTGGTGATCTTCTCGTCTGTCTTGACCTTTCACACACTATTCCTCGTATCTGAAATACTCTTCCTCCTCCCACTGATCCTTCATGTCTCAGCTCAAATGTGTCTTCCTCCAGGAAGGCTTCCCTGACTCCCTCCCAGGTGTCCCATTGGTTAGGTGTTCCTCTTCTTTACTCTCCTAGCAGCCACTATTCTTTCTTTTTATTGCTTATTGAATTATCTTTCCTCCCAGCTGGCCCAGGGATGGCAGACCTCTATGAACCTTGTAAACATGGCATCGCAGAACCTTCATAATAAGATTGATAAACGTCTGTCGAGTGAATGAATGACTCTAGATCTGCTGCTATGGATGGGGAGGGGAGCAGCGGTTCGCCCAAGGTCACAGGGAGAAGAGTTGTGGCCAGACCCGCTCTCCCAAGCCCGTGTAGGCTGCTGTACTCACAGGCTCTGTGACCCTCCTGCTGAAGATGGCCAGCAGGAAGAGGGCGGTGACGGGCGGGGCCAGGTAGCTGGTGATGGACTGGATGTAGTCGAAGAGCTGGCCGCTGTTGGAGCTTTGGATGATGGGGATCCAGAGGATGCTGACGGCGACCAGGAGCACCACAAACACCCTGCCGGAGGGCACGGGTGCTGTGAGGAGCTCTCAGGGTGGCAGGGTGTGGGGTGCGGTGAGGGTGATGCTGGGAGCCAGGAAGGGAGGGCAAGGGGGATGCATGGTCGCGGAATCAGAGAATGTTAGGAGACCGGAATCCCAAATGCTAAGATTTCAGAAATAAAGACTCCCAAAATCCCGGAATATCAGAATCCTAGAATCTAAGCAACCAAGGATTTTCGCATTGGATGTCCCCGAGGTCAGGTAGCCCAGCTGATCTTCAGAAAGGAATACACACCTTCACCCCACCACCCCTCAGTAAATGGCCTTGGTCCTCGGGGGCCTTTCCTTCTCTCGTCCACCTGAACCCGTGCCGGGCAGCTCCTTTCCCAAGAGGGCTCCAAACCCAGGACTTCTCCCTTCTCTGGGCTTCTCCAGCTCTAAGCCTCTCTCCCTGATGTTGCCCTTTAGCTCAGAGAAGAAACTCTACCTTCATATTCTGACTCCCCTTCAACTGATCCTGGCTCAGGCCCAAGTTCCCCTAATGCTGTCTCTGTATGATTTTGCAGGTGTGTGACTTTCCTTGGATGTGCTGGGTGCAACAATACAAAAGACCAGCAGATGGCATCAAAACTCTACTGGTTGAGGAAGTCGGTGTCTACAACCTGGCCCTTTAGTGTGAAGTATCAAGACAGTCTTTTAGAAATGTCTCTACACACCTGTCTTCTCCTCTCCTTTCCCCTATGTTCTCTCTCCAGGCCCCACTAAAGCAGCAGCTACCCAAGTGGCCTCCCTGCTGCTCACCCTCGCCTCATCGCACAGTCCAGCCTGCACTCAGAGCCCCGTGCAGAGGGTCGGGTGCCTGTGAGCGGCAGTGGGAATCTATTAGGCGGCCGGGCGCAGAAAGCATCGTGGTGGAAGGATCAGGGAAATAAAAAAAGCAAGTTATCTAAACTCAAGTACCATCTACCCACAGGGGAGAATGAACTCGGTAGTCCAGAAACCTCATATAATAGAGCCTTAAGTTATGAAGCAACAGTTTCAGAAAGGGTCCCCGAACCCTGTGCAAACCACAAACCCCAAGCCTAGGAAGAAAGAGAAAAATTAGCCACCAAGTTATACTCTGAAAAGCATAAAACTGATACCAACAAGGTACAAGGTAAAGTGCAAACCCTTCGGCCTGGTGTTCTGGGCTCTGCATGCTTTGGAGACAGACTCCCTACAAGCATCTTCGGGGATGCGGGTCCCTCCCTGCTGGCCTGTCTGCCGTCCTCTCAGGGCAGGGCCATACCAGTCACCCTGTGTGCCCGGCTCGGAGGTTTGATGTGAGGGGTCCTCCCAGGGTGAGATGATGGAGTGTCCTGGGATGACAGCTGGTCGAAGGACCCCGGGGTGAGCAGCTTGCCAGCTCCCTCCCACTTACACAGTTCACCTTTCCCTGCTTAAATGCTTTGCTAGTGTCTCTCATTTACCCTTTTGGTCTATTTCAAGAGAAAGTTGAACAGGGAGGGAAGAGATTTTTCTCCTTATTCTGGAGGGACAGGGGTGGTCATTGCTGGGGAGGGACTCACCTGAGGCCATGGAGGAAGCTGGCCCTAGAAGCAGGAGCTCGGACCGCCAGTCCAGGGCCCAGACCCGCCACACCTCCCCAGGGCAACCCGAACGGGGAGGAGCGGGGAGGGGTCTCCCAGGAAGGGCGCTCAGGACGACGGCCAGCCCACCTGCCCACCACCATCAGCTCCTGCTCTGTGGCCTTCTTGCGGAAGCGCTGCCAGACGTCAATGGCGAACAGGGTGCTGCTGCTGTTGAAGATGGAGGTGAGCGAGCTCATGAGGGCGGCCATGATCACGGCGATCATCAGGCCCCGCAGACCTGGGGAGAGACGGGGTCTCCGTGGACAACTGGCCGTTAAGTCTCTGCCAGGAGCCAGGGAGGCCGGGGTGGAAATGGGAGGGGGAAGGTGCTGGAGGAGGTTCCCCACCACGCGGATAGGGAATCTGGAGCAGAGGCTGTCCTGGCTGCTCTGCCTCCGCTGGCCCTGTGGCCCTGGGTGAGTCACCTGCCCTCCCTGAGCCGTGCCCTGAGGGGTGTGAGACCAGGTGACCTCGCCGGTTCTCTGCGACCCTGACATCTCGTGAGTGGTCACAGGTGGGAAGGTGGCTGATCGTCAATGAAAGGTTTTCGGGCCCTGGCCGGTTTGGCTCAGCGGTTGGAGCATCGGCCTGCGGACTGGAGAGTCCTGGGTTCGGTTCCCGCTAAGGGCACGTACCTCAGTTGCCGTTTGTCCCCAGCCTCAGTTGAGGTCGTGTGGGTGGCAACCAGTCGATGGGTCTCTCTCACATTGATGTTTCTCTCTCTCTCTCCCTCCCTCTCTCTCTGAAGATAAATGCGAAAATGACCTCGGATGAGGATTTAAAAAAATGGTTTTCGGTGTTTTCCTTTCTCATTGACGTTCCGGGAGACAAAGCCTGGCCTGGGGAGCAGGGAGCCCAGGTGTGTTTCTGGTTCTGCCGGGAACCAGCCGTGTGATCTTTGAACTGTGTGAGTCCTTCCTTTTGGGGCCAGATTTTCCTCCTGCAGCAAGAGCAGACGGGCCCGTGGATCCCTGAAGTCTCTGACCCTAATGACCAAGCCTCCAGAAAAATGACTGTCACCCCTCAGAGGGGACACCCACCTGGCCCCACCTCCATGCGCTTCCTGTCCCCAGCCCAAATCTTTAGCCACCTCCTGCACACGTGTCTCCCTGGAAGACTCGAGGTGTCCCACACCTAGGCCAGCATCTTCCTCCGGAGCCTCTGTTCCTCCCTCTGGTCAATAATACCTTTCTGGTCTCCACACCAGATGCTCAGAGGAGTCCAGACCCTCCCCTGCCCCCGCCCACCTCCCCTGTGGCGGCTCTGTCATCGCTGGGCCCTCCTCTCATCTCCACTTTGATTTCTTCTATTCATTTGATTTCTTCTTATTCTACCTGGGCAGGGGGATAACTCAACTCACCGACTTCCCTTCGTAAACCTGCCTTCCTTCCAGTGTCCGCAATCTCATCAGCATCGTAAACCTACGACCTGGGGCCCTCTTTGGCTCCCTCTGTCTTTCTCATCTCTCAAATGCAACCAATCATTAAGTCCTGTCAATTCTACCGTGTAAATATCTTCTAAACCTCTTTCTCCATCTCTAAAGACACTGGCCTGGCCACGCCACCAGCACCACTCAGCAGGACCGCTGCAAACCCGTCTCCCACCCCTGCCTCCCGTAAGCTGAGCCCCAGGCAGAGCGGTTCCCCCAAGCACAACTGATCGCGGACACAGGCCTGAACCCCTAGCGACCTCACTGCCTCTGAGTCAAGGCCACGCTGCGGAACGAGGTGTGGCCACCACCTCTCCACGAGGGTGGGCTTCAGTGCCCAGGCATGTGAGCCCACCAGGCCGCCTCCAGTCAGACTCCACGCTCGCTCCCTGGCCCCGGCCTTTGCAGGCACAGCCCTCCCCCCGGGGTGACATTGCCCACGCCCTCCAGCTTTGTCTGCCTAGCATGCTCCTCGGCTCTGCCCCACTCCTCCCCTCAGAGACCTTCCCCAGCACGCCCAACGGGCCAGCTGCCTCCTTAGGGCCCCTCAGCCCCCTGTGTCCCCACACTGGTCACTCTGCACTGTGGCCTCGGCCAGCCTGAGCACCCTGGAGACTGCGTGGAGCCCGAGAGTAGATGCTCGCCCTTCATCCCTGCACCTCCAGGACCAGGCCGCAGAGCAGCTCGACAGAGGCCTGTGTGCGTGTGCGTGTGCGTGTGTGTGTGTGTGTGTGTGTGTGTGTGCTGGGGGGGTGCGTGTTTTTATTTCCTCTTCCTGTCCGTGTCCATCCTAACTCAACCCCGCCTGGGCCGTGGGGATTGGGGGCAGTGGGGATGGGGAGCGACAGGTGGTGCGTAGGAAACAGGACTCACCAGTGGGCATGAGAGCGATGACCAGCTTGGGGTAGGCGATGTTGGAACATCCCACGCGGGCCCCGCAGATCCGTTGGCAGACGTCAGGGTCCACGCAGCCCACCTCGTCTGCTGAGGAAGCGAAGGCCATTAGAGCGAATCTTCTGGGCCTTCTCGGGGTGGCCCAGCGTCTGCTCTCTGAGCCCTCGGGGAAGTGTCCACTGGTGACTCGCAGGGGCCCGAGGCCCGGCAGGCGGCTGCCTGGGTGCTACGATGTGACCCTCGCTGGTACATCTCCCTACCGCACACTGCCCTGTGAGGCCGCTTCAGGCCGTATATCCTAACAAAAGGCAAATATCCCTGGGAGGCACCAAAACGCCTTGCCTGGCCTGTCCCTGACAAAGGCAAGGCAGGATTTAAGGTGACATTCAGATACAAGCTTTTCCACTGGACAGGTGCTGTGTGCTTGGCCCACAAAGGCTGACATGGAACTCTGTCCTCAGTAAGCCCTGCGCGGCCCCGGACTGCACCAGCCCGCACCCCCAGCAGGGCCCGCTCTTGCCTGGGTACAGGGCCCTGCTGATCATGCCAGGCATGACGATGAAGAACATGGGCAGGATCTTCAGGTAGCCCCCCAGCACGGAGCCGCCCTTGGCATGGGACAGACTCTTGGCGGAGAGAGACCTCTGCACAATGACCTGAAAGGCAGTGGAGGCGGACACTTGGGCCGGGCCAGGCTCAGCTCAGCCACAGGGCTCTGGTGTGCTCACGGCTGTGTCCCCGCAGTGGCCCCAGAGCAAGTCCCAGCCTTCTGCACATCCGGATGCCCAGTTTCCTGCAGGGAGTCCCCCTCATGGTGGGGGGGCCGAGCCTCACGGGGGCATCACCTGATCTGTGCACCAGCACCAGGTAGCCAGCACCGTGAGCCCGAAAATGAGGCCTGGCCAAGGGATGTCCCCGGTCACAGGGCTCCGAAGCATGTGGAAGGCATCAGGCCGGGGCAGGTGGCAGGTGGTGTTGGGGACAGTGGCATTAGGGATGGCCTGCATGTACCGCTGCTCCAGGCCTGGGTACCAGCCCACCTCCTTAAAGCCTGTGGGGAGACACAGCAGCCAGTGAAACAGCCCTGAGGCCCCACGGGGCCTGTCCCATGCCCCCGCCCCCTCCAGCTCCGTCCCCGTGGAGTCCCTGGGCTCCCCTGCCCCCACCAGGAGGGGGACATGGCTCTGTGCTCTAGGAGCTCTGACCAGACCACGGAGGCGACAGGCAAAAGTAGGTGAGAGAAATTTAGGGGCAAGTTGGGGTGTATTCAGTTCTCTTCCTTACCCAGAAACATGAGGACCAGGGCTCCCCCCACCATGATGACCGTCTGCAGAGCGTCCGTGTAGATCACGGCCGTGAGGCCCCCTGGGGACCCAAGGAGAGGGCTCATCAGTCAGCACCACCAGGGCTTCCTCTCTGGGTGCCCGCCCTGGGCATGGCCACCCTGGGGAGACCAGAGAAGACATGGAGGCCTCTTAGCAGGTGGACTCCGCCTCCTGCCTCCTCTGCACTGCTCCCCTCTATCACTGTGGGAGCTGTTAGCTCGCCAGGAGTACCCCGCACCCCGCCTGAATGCCCACTCAGATCCCCGTCCTCCCAGGACACTTAGCCACGTGCTCTGCCCTGAGCCTGCCCTCAGCTCGCCCGGGCTGGTGCAGTACTCGGAGGAGGCAGAGGAAGGTGGCTTTGTGGTTTCTATCTGAAGCAGCCCACAGTGACTCTAGTCCAAGTGACGGTCCCTGATCCCGCCCCTGCTCCCTGAGGGAGGACAATCCTCTCAGTATCTCTCAGGGTCTCTCCCTCCCTCCCTTTCTCGGGCTGGCTGATTCTTCCGTTTCCGCCCTATATGTCTCCCCTTACTCGGTTACACTGTCTCCATCTTCTCTCTGCACTTCCCTTTGATCCTATATCTCTGTCTCTATCTTCGGCTCTTCCTTTTCTCGCTCTCTCCCAGGGGCAGTTTTCTCTCTGCCTCTCCTCTGGACGCCTCTCTCCCCCAGCCCTTCCTGCTGTGTCTCTGCCGCCAAAGCTCCCCTCTCCACCTCTCCTGTCCCCAGGTCTCCGCTCCCAGCCCTGTACCTACCGTGACCTTCCCTCGGCCCTACCTGTGATGGTGTAGACGGCTGTCACCACCAGCAAGATCACCGTGGAGAGGTAAAGGTTCCAGCCCAGGGCCATCTGGATGAAGAGGGCTCCAGAGAAGATGTCAGTCTGCAGAGACCCGACCAGGAGGTCACCTTCCTGCTCAGCAGCACCAGCTGCCGTCAGCCCTCATCACGTGACAAGGCCAGGCCTTGAGTGCCCTGCTGAGGGGCATGGGTGGGATGGGCAGGTGCTGAGCAGCCGCAGAGAGTGTAAGGCAGAGAAGCACCGCATGAAACTCGGACACTGAGGCAGGGAGACCTGGCGCTGACGGAGCCTGTTGTCGGGAAGGGCGCGGGAGGAGTGAAGCGGGAGACTGAGGAAGTAAAGCAGGTCGCTGGGGTCGAAGAAGAGACCGCTTGGGAGGGGCCAGGGTCCCAGGGGTCCGAGCGCTCCCTGACAGAGCAGAGCCCATCAGTAGCCCGAGGCGCCCGAGCTGACTGCCTGGCAGGCTCTGCACGCCCCGCGCTGGGCTGTGAGAGACGGTGGGGTCGCATCTGTGCCCAGGCCGACTTAGATGGCTGACAAGCAGTGGAGGCACAAGGTGGGGACCTGGCAGCCGAATGAGTCAGTGCCCTCAGTGCACGCCCTGCGGCCCCATGACCGCGTTCTGAGCCCGTTACAGGGCTACAGCCGGGGCAGCAGCAGGAGACCGGGACAGGTCATAGGTCCCCAGCATCAGCTCCGGTCCCAGAGCAGGCCCTCTGTGCGCGCCATGTGACGGTTTCTTTCAAAGTTTAGGTTGATCGAGAAAGAATAAAGGCCTTTTTAACCGAACCATTCTTGGCAATTAATGCATAGTACTGAATGAAGAATCAGTGGATGGAAAGGTGAATGAATGAACTCTAGATAATGAGGTCTCTGAATAGGGGGACTGTCATTCACCCACAGAACATTTATCATCCATCTCCAATTACCCACTGCTGAGGGAGAGTGTGCATTGAAGGTACGTGGATTCGTTCTTCCTTCCTCCCTCCTTCCTTCCTTCTGTCCGGCCAGCCAGCCCACAACAAGCCATGCCCTAGACTCAGCATTTGCAGAGACGAGACGGCCGCCCTGGGGTGGGTGCTCACCGAAATCTTGGTGAAGATGTAGAGGATGAGAGACAGCACAGACATGTACACCTGGATCCTCTGGCCCCCAAACCGCTTCTTCAGGTACTGCGGCATGGTGACCACTCCGGCTGCGATGTACACGGGGACGAAGATCCAGCCGAGGGCCAGAAGCAGCCAGGTTGCCTGGGAGAGTGGAGAGCAAAAGGTGTCCACGTCCTGGAAGCAAACGGAGGGGTGGTCCCCTACCGAGAGGTGGTGCCGCAGAGGACAGCCCTGAGCAGGGAGGGAAGGGACCTGGGACCCTGTCTCCGTCCTGTGTGACCTCTGATGGTCCCTCTGTCTCCTCCAGGCCTGTTTCTGTATCTGTAAAGTGGGTTCTCCATTCACCGTGCAGCCTCCCCAAGCACATCTGAGGTTCCTCGCAGGGCTAAGGCCAGGGAGGGGGTGGGTGGGCTCAGACCCTCAGCCAGCTTCCTTACATTCCACTCGAAGCCACCCACAGCAAGGCCTCCGGCGGCCCCTGTCCCAGCCAGGCCAATGAACAGTCCGCTGCCCACGTTGCTGGACATCAGAGATGCTCCGATCTGCAAGGCACAGGCGGGGTCAAGGATCAGGGGTCAGTTTTAATGAGTCAACCTGGAGTCGCCGTGAGCTTCAGGTGCTGGATGAAGCAGGGAGAGCAGGACCTGGACCCAGGAATCTGAGACCAGAGGAAGAGAGGAAGTGGGCGGGGGACACAGAGAGAGGTCTGACATCCGTCCGGTACCACTGTCTGCCAGGCACTGTGCCGGGCATTTCATGTGTGCGAATACCCTGTTCTCCACAGGATTTGGAGGGATGAGTGTTCATCTTTCCGATCACAAAGGAAGAATTAATGTTAGGAGAAATAAAGACACTGGCTCCAAGCCACCCAGAAGGGAAGCCGTGGGGAGCCGGGCCCACGTGGGGAGGCGGAAGCACCGGTCTGGACGTAGATCTGAGGGCCCCCAGAGTGGATGTGGACCCGGAGGAGGGGGAGAAAGCAGCAGCCCAATGGCGAGCCTGAGTCACAGAGGCCTCAGGACTGCCCCCTGGAGGTTGTCGGGGACTTGACATCTCGATTCGCTCGGTGCGCTGCTCTTCGGTAGTACATGGATGTGTCGCCTTCCTGAGAACGTCTTCGCTGACCACACCTCCATGTCTGCAGGTCGGAGGCGTCCTGCAAGCCTCGTAGCCCCTCTGCGCCTCCAGTTCAGCAGTGGCCGTTGCCCCTGAGTCTGTCCGCCAGCCCAGCTCGGGTTCTCTGGGACACGAACGTCCTGGACCGTCCCTGTGGGTCCCGCCTGCGCCCGTGAGAAGGCGCCCAGTGGGTGCCTGTCCGAGGTGTCGTTAGCAAGATGGCTCAGGTGGTCGGTGCCTTGGGACAGCAGAGGAGCCCAGAGCCAGGAAACCCACCTGGGGGGCTGTGCCCTTGGTCCAGGTGGGAGAAGGGGAGACAGGGAGTTGGATGTGGAAGAAGGGGAGGGAGGGAGGTCAACTCACCGGCCACCAGCTCATGGACCTCCCCGCCAGGAAATAGCCACCGATGGTCCCTCGGCTTGCACGGATGGACGACTGGGAAGGAGGTGGCCAGCGGTGAGCGTTTCCCGAGATTCCCCCAACCTCTGCCCTCACCCGGATTCCCCATCGTGGACACGGGTGAGGACGGAGGCAGGCTTCCCATCTTTATTCTACATGTCATGGGGTGGTCACCTCTCTCTCAGCCTCGCTGCTTGTGTCCCGGAGCTGGCCTGATGGACAAAGGAGCCAGCGGAGGTACACAGCCCGGGGATGCCGGGGCTGCGGGGCGGGGGTTCCCGTCACCGTGCCGTGTTCTCTCCCCTTCCTGCACCCGAGCTCGGTTCAGCACCTGAGCTGGTGTCTGTCTCAGGCCCCAGGAGCTGCAGGGAGACCCACCTGTCCCCTCCTCCCTGGGGCTGCACCTCTGACAGTAGGACTTGGGCCCCAGGCAGAGATGTGAGGTTTGGGGGCTTCTCCTCCCTGGCCTGACCTTAGACCAGGCCGCCTAGGCCCATCCAGGACCCTGAACCAACCCCAGTCCAGCACCAGAGGGTGGGCAGTTAGCAGCCTGTTCGGGGGCTGCTCTGAGGAAGAGGAGTGGGGAGAGGCAGGCCTCTCTCTGGGAGGCGGGGTGAGGGCAGTGGGGAGGGAAGGGCACACTAAAGCCCTTATTGAGGTGCCGAAGCCAACAGGTCTCCGACCGGCCTGGAGACCGGAGCCCTTCCGGAAGGAGAGGGAGGGAGAGGGAAACCGAAAGAAGCTTCTCTGGCCCGAGGAAAAGTAATGAGTCACTGGACCTGGATCGGGGTGTGCGGGGCCTGGGCTGGGTAAGCCTGTCCTTGAACTGCCCAGTGTCACCCCTAGTCTTCAGGAAGCCAGAGGAGCAGAAAGAATTCATTTCGAGACGAGGAAACCCAGGCCCCAGAGGGGTCTTGCCCTTGCCACAGCCCAGGGAGCGGCCGGCTGGGCCTCCAGCCACCTGCCTTGCAGCAGAGGCGAAAGGTGCTGGCGCGTCTCCAGCGCTTCCGCGACAATAGTGCCATTTAGCGCCGCCGGCTGTGTGCCGGGCACTGTGCCACACTTAACTGCGGCAGGTGGCAGGCGGGTCCTGGCCACGCCACAGCGTGAGCCTTCTCCTCACTGACCAGATGAGAGACTGAGGCTCCGAGAAGCTTCACATGTCCCCAGGGCCATGCGGCCCTCACTGCTGAGGTTGGGGTCTGAACTCAGGGCGTGTGGCCCACACAACCCCCTGGCCTGAGGCTTTGGTGCACATGGAGATCAGAAGGACCTGGGGGTCCGCCTGGCTGCCTTCCGGTGAACACAGGAGGCCTGGCTCGTTTAGGAAGCACTGCTCCGAGCCAAGATGCTAACTAGCCGAGAGCGGCGTAGGCCAGGAGTCAAGCATCCTCAGAGTTGGGGATCTCGGCACAGTGAAGGGGGAAGGAATGGGGTTCGGGGTGGCCAGGGATGGGTGGAGCCAAAGGCAGCAGGTGCGTAGAGACAGGCAGTCAGGAGATGGGCTCAGGTGTGGCCTGCCTCCGGCTCCCTGTGTGACATCAGGCAAGTCACACCCCTCTCTGGGCTTCAGTCTGCCCGTCTATGAAAGGAGGGTGGTGAGGCCCTCCTTCTGCCCGCCTCTGTCCCCAGCTCCTCCGCCAGCTAGAGATGAGAGTGTGGCTCTGCCTCCCCTGCCAGCCCCGACACCCAGGACTACTCACCCAGACCCCCACGCCCACGACGAAGACAAAGTAGACGACCAGGACCCCGATGTCGTAGGCGTGCAGGCTGACTCCGGGGCCCACTGCTGAGCGTGGCGCTGGTGCAGTCCTGACCCCATCTCCAGGCCCCATCGCTGCCAGCTCCCCGCTCCTCTGGGAGCCGCTCACCACCAGGCTGGACTTTGAGGCGCTCCTGGCTTCGTTCCTTTCCTTTAATGATTAAACAACCCTGGGCCATCAGCCGCTAGAAAGCTCTGGGCCCCACGCAGAGGTGTGACTGGGGGCTTGTAAAGTCCTGGTCACCCTTTTCCCCTAACTGCCACCCTCATGCTCTGCAGGACTCTCCCCTTCTCCCTGCCCCCACCACACACAAACACACACACACTCACACACTCACACATTCACATGCACACTCACCACACATTCACATACACTCACTCTCACACGTGCACACACACTCACATTCACATACACTCACACTCACACATTCACATACACTCACTCTCACACATGCACACACACATTCTTACACACGCACATGCACTCACACACTCTCTCACACACATTCACACATGCTCACACTCGCGTGCACACACTCACACGCACACTCACTCTCTCACACGTGCACACACACTCTCACATGCACACTCACACGTGCACACACACTATCACACGCACACACTTTTACACATGCACATTCACACACTCACACACTTTCGCACATGCACACACACTCTCACATGCACACTCATGCACACACACACACTCACACACACTCACCACTCATGGGAAGGGGAGGGGGAAGAGGAGGAGGAAAGGAGCAGTCTTGGAATCCTGTAGTTAGGACAACCTTCAGAAGTCAAGGTGTTCAAGCTCTTGCTTGCTTGGAGGGGGACTGAGGCCCAGGGAGGGAAAGAACACACAAGGCAGTAGAGAAGAACTGAGCCTCCATCCAGGCGTTTTGGTCGTCACTTCTAGCAGCCTTCCTTCCGCCCAGGGGGAGGAGACCGAGGGGAGGGAGCCTGCTGTCCCCCTTGCAAAGCATCCACCCCTCTCATGCTCCTGCCTCCAAGCCGCCCAGGTGTCATCTTCCCTTTGGTGACAGTGTAGACACTGAAGCCCGGGAAGAGACGTTTATTCCAAGCCACAGAGTGGGGCCAGGATTCTCCTTCTCGGTCCACACTCCTGCCTGTGCTCTGACAAACAAGGGCTCCTGAAAAGATCCCAGAGCCCCCTGCACCCAGGAGAGGGTCTGCCCTGCGACCCAGCGGCCTGCTCCCTAGTCCCCGCTGCGCATCTCAGTGACCAGCAGGGTGATCATAGGCTAGTAGCCAAGTGACTCTGAGCTTGGTGTCCTCTGTCCGCATGGCCTGGCCACCTCTCAGTGCCAGGGAGTGACTTCCTCCTACAAGGAAGGACCCACCCTGCCCTCAGGTTCTACTGCCCACCTACCCTGACCCCACCCCGTCCTCACAGATGCCTGAGGCTGAGCCCCACCCCTGCAGTGTCCTCATCCTAAACCAGCAGGTCTGGGCCCATAGCAGCCAGGCCCGTGTGTTCACGAACCAGGCATTTAGCATCCAGATCCCAGAAAGTGCCAGGAAGGAGCAGAAAAGGCTTTGACATGGTTGGACCAGACATTGTGAAGCCTGTGCTCGGAGCCCAAGCCTCGGCTGTATCAGCGAGCCCTGAGCCCCGACTCGGGCTGTCCATCGCTTTACCCTGAGCTCCGGCTCACACCAAACCAGCAAGTCAGCAGCAGGGAGGAGGCTGCCAGAGGCGGGCAAGGGTGTGCAGGGACAGCCGGAGAACAGCTGTGATGGCCGGACGGTGCAAAAAACATCATTAAACCAGTAGTACAGGAAGGATGATGCAACAGACAGGCCAAACTGGGTGAACAGACCTGTCACCTGGGCCCCATCAACTCTCAACAAAAGGCATTCTTGAACAGCAGCTGAGGATTTCAATGCATTAACCCAGAATCACTGAGGAAACATTACAGTATGACCATCACAGACTTCTATATTTAAAAAATGTTTCTTTATTGATTTTAGAGAGAGGGGAAGGGAAAAGGAGAGAGATAAAAACATTAATGAGAGAGAACATCAACTGGCTGCCTCCTGCACGCCCCCCACTGGGGATCAGGCCCACGACCTGGCAAGTGCCATGACTGGGAATCAAATCGGCAACCTCTTGGCGCATGGGTTGATGCTCAACCACTGAGCCACACCTGCCAGGCCAGACTTTCTATTTAGAAGGCACACATGAAATATGGACAGAAGTGTTTCATTCACAATGGTCTAACATTTTAGGCAGGTGCTGGCATTCAAGAATGAGGCCTCCTTTATCCAAGAGATCCTCTCAGAGAACTCCCAAGAATGAAGGGTCGATCATATTGTCATCCTTACCTTAGGTGAGCACCTGTGGTGCAGCTGCCCGAGGGGAGCACCTGCCCTAGGTGAGCACCTGTGGCGCACCTGCTTGGGTGAGCACATGTGGCACACCTGCCTGGGTGAGCACCTGTGACACACCTGCCCTGGGGGAGCACCTGTGTCACACCTGCCCTGGGGGAGCACCTGCCCTGGGTGAACACCTGTGGCATACCTGCCTGGGTGAGCATCTGTGGCACACCTGCCCTAGGTGAGCACCTGCCCTGGGTGAGCACCTGTGGTACACCTGCCCTGGGGAGCACCTGTGGTGCACCTGCTCTGAGGCAGAGAGGCTGACACACATGCACTGGGGCCCAGCCCAGCAGGAAGCCAGATAGCTGCACAGGACAGGCACCTTCAGCACATTACCCACCCCCATGCTCTTAGGTGAGGAGCTCAGAGGAGGAAGCAACATAGTCCATGTGGGAAGCTGGGCATGGCTTAGAGGAAAGGGCCTTAAAAGGAGTATCACAGAAGTTTCTGCCAAGATACATCACACATAAAAACTGCAAAATGAGGGCAGATCTGCACAGGAAATGCTAGGAGCTGGACTGACAATCCTAAAGGCTCTACAAGGAGAATACAAAAGGATTTTGTAAACATTTCTTCAGATAAATCCTTGTGTCTTTCCTGGTGAAAACAGGAAAGGGTGTGAGGGCTGGTTGCCCAAGATAGTTTTGGGTAGAGTGGCTTCGGAGAGCTCGGTAAGTGTCCCCCTCAGGTGAGATCTCCGAGGACGGGATGACTCAGGCTGAAGTGCACAGAGGGTAGGGGCCTGGGTGATGGACAGATGGAGTTGTTGATTTGGGACTGCCCTGCCTCCTGCTACCTCCTGGAAGCATCCTTGGCAGGTTCATCTGTGCCTGTGGCTACCTGCAAGTCCTTCCTAAGAAACCACCAACCTCCTGCTGAGAACCTCCCTTCCAGAACAGTGAAGGGTAAAGACTAATATTTGCCATGTGTGCCAGAGCACGGGGTAGGTCACATCCCAAATACAACTGCAACCCGTGTGTGGACTGTGAGTTGGCCTCATCATTCCCATTTTGTAGGCGAGGGAGCTGAGTCTCACCGGTGATGTCCCATAACTGCAGCTTCTCTTGAACCCAGGCTTGCCTGACTCATGCTGGAAGCTGCTACACCCCGTCCCTGTCCTCTTAGTCCTGTGTCTGTGGGGAGACATCACGGAAGTGCATCCTTCTGGAGGCAGGGTAGAAATCAGCTCGTCTGCCCTTCCCAGTGGGGCTCGGAGCAGGGCGCGGCACTGGCTGGGCTGGGGCCAGGAGCCCCCTGGGGCCTGGGCTCCGGTGAGAGGCCTTGTGACCCTCTGCCCCGCCATCCCCACCCTCAGCCACCGCTCCTTCCCTGGCCACTGCTCTCGCTCGCTCTCCGCCTGCCACCCGCCTATGCTTCTCTCAATTCAAAACAAATGCAATTCGATGTCATTGCTCTCAGTCACTCACAGAGCACACTCTGTGCCCGGCCCTTCGTCAGGGCTGTCCCCCTGCACCACCCCAGGGGGCGCCATCCCCCTGGCATTGTGGAGGTGGTGGCTGTGCTCTTGCACAGGGGACAGAGGTAAGAAGACCTGGTCCTGGAGGAGGAGTCTGCTGGAGGAAAAGCCACATGTCTGGGGGGCAGGAAAGAGCTTCTTCATGGTGCGCCCCCCCCCCCAGCCGCCAAGGGCCAGGGCTCGGGAGTGCTCCCAGCTCAGGTCGCACAGTGGGGAAGGACGGGCTTTAAATGGACGGGCAGTGCCAAGAGGAAAGGGTTACCATACACGAGAATAGGCTGAGAAAGATGGTGACAGAGACCTAGGAATGGGGAAAGAAGGAAAGAAAAGGAAGAGTTGCATGCTCTCATCCCTGAAAACGTATCCTGCAGACCCAGACAACTCCTACCTGAGCAGCCTGGCCCGGACAGAGCTCCCTGGCCAGTGTCTCAGCCTCAGCAGCAGCTCCCCAGGCTGGCGGGCTCGGGCCTGGCCTCTGGCAGCTGGGTCAGGCTGAGCGAGTCTGGCTCCTCCTGCGGGTGAGGCGGTGGGAGGCCCGAACCCCGCTCCAGCCCCGGGGCCTTGGCTCCTGGGACAGCGCTTGACCTTCTACCTGTCGGTGACCTGGGGAAGGAGAACTTGTTCTCCGGGAGCCCTGCAGGGGCCACAGAGACCACAGCTCAGCCTCAGCGCTGGTGGCTGCTGTGGCAGCCTTGTCCCTGCAGACCTGGGCAAGCAGGTTTCTCGAGGCTCGAGGGGGGGCGGGGCCGACACCAGCCACCGGGCGTCCGCAGCTGGGAAGGCTGGGCGCGGGGCTGCGGGACTGCGCAGGCGCACACGCGCACACCAGCTCGGGCCTGGGCGCACTGGAGCCCGAGGAGCCGGGCTCGCCGAGGCTGCTCTGCTCGCCAGCGTCCGGGGGCCTGACGCCGCCGCCTTCTCTGCAGACAGCACTCTTGGAAGCAGAGCTGAGTCCAGGAGCTGACCGCTGACCCCAGGGCCCAGGAGCCAGAGGGGCTGCCGCCCCTGACCCCGCGATCCGTGAACACAGCCCCCGTGTCTCCTCATGTCCAAGACGAAATGTCCGGAATCGTTTCTTCAGCGCGGTGAACTGAACTGAACGGTCTGGCCGGTCCCCCCCTTCCGGCTCGAAGGGTCGGGCAGAAGGGGATCCAACCGGAGCTGTGATGGGACAACAGCGCTGCTCGCGTCCCCTTCACAGCCTCGGGGTCCTTG